TAATTTCTCATGATTTTTACGCATAATTTTTACAGCATTTCGCTACTTAACTTTTCGCGTTGTTGCCTAATGCTCGTCAGATGCGCACTAATTGGTGTTTATAACACTAATTTGATTTTGTGAAATTTTACTCACAAGTGGAACCTAATCTGAGTAGCTACGACCAATACTACGTACTACTGCATATCGGAGTTAATAAAAGAACGACTTACCTATGTCGAAAGTCTTCTTAGGTGTTCTCCCATTGGTTATGTAAGATTTAGGCAGGGCAAATTTAACCTTCCTTGAACCAGGCTTAAACAATAATTTGTACGTTAAAGAAAATCAAACCTCTAACTGATAAAATACGAGATATAGTACAAACCTTGATACCATCGTCACAGTCATGATATACCTTGAAGACTGGATCGATAGGAGTCAGTTCAGCGGTGCCACCAGACAGTTGGAACTCGCCGTTTGCATCAGTATAGCCTTGATCGAGAAGATCGTCTGGGTCAGGACCTAAGTACGATAGCAGTAGAAATACTCGTTGAAAATTACCTTTCATCATATTACAAGGCAAATTTTTTAATAAAAAATGTTTTATTGTCTGCTGGATTCTCTACTAGAGCTACGTATTAAGTTTCATAAACTAATTATTGCAATATATGTTAAAGAAGGACTAATTTTTACTACTTGATGCTTTTCGTAAACATCAAGCCACATCTCTTTTTTTGCTTGATTTGTTGGTGATTGAATATACAAGGTTTAACTAAGTGAAGGTTACTAAAAGGCTACGGAATGTTTTGGATGTACATTACCACTGTCCTCCTCCCAGAGCTTCACACGTACATTGGCCGCAGGCTTTGAACCACACAGCAGTTTCCCACGTACAGCGATGGATTGATCACGCAATGCCAAGGCAACCCCAACAACAGTAAGGAGCAAAAGGCACTTCATCTGAAAGACAACGGTAATTTTTGTAAAAATCACGCTAAGAAAATTGACATTTTATGAAGTAAAATGTTTTTGGAGCAAGCTCATTCCGAGCAGACAAGGGCAGTCAGCGTGCGTCGAAATAGGAAGAGACGGTGCCCTGCTATGGTCCAGCGAGATAACATGTTATTCACATTTAGCGAGATAACAGTTTGATAACGATAGGGCATAAATTG